TTGCCTAACTTAGCTGTCTATAATACAAGGGTCTTTTTTAGTAAAGAACAGAGAGGATGGAGAGCATGAGACAGTGCAGATCTTCACACTCACTTCATCATTTCCAGCCATCTTCAGCTCATCCTCCTCTTTCTTGTGGAAACGGGGCTGGCATCTGCATATACTGTAACTTCTTTTCAGCTGAGGAGACAGGGTATGGGCTATGGGCTCCTCAGGAGAAAGTTTGGGAAAGTTGCTTATCTCTAAAAGAAAAAAACCTAACTTTTAAAGTTCCATTTTTCAGTGCCAGTTACATTTGTAGTGGAAAGTATGGTACTTAATCTCATTAGTGCTGTCCAAATGATTCAGTATCAGAACTTTACAACCCTTGGAAGAAAAGTCCAAGGAAATCCTTGTGAGCAGCTTGCCAGAGGGGAATGATGAGGGAGGCTAAAAGCATCCTAGGGCTTCCTTGAAAAAGCAGAATTGGAAAGTAGAAAGTGAAAAAAACAATATCCTTCAGGAACAGAGAATGACGGGTAATGTACTACAGACATATGCAAGGCTTCCTCGCTGTCTTCCCATACACCCTTCTCCCGTGACTGCGATGCTATTCTAGAATCACAAACCTTCCTCTGACTCAGTCACAGTGAAGTTTATACATCGTCTTAGTATTCAGGCTGTGTTTGTTCTTGGTTCTGGTCAGGTGCCCTCTCAATACAGACAGCTCTTAAGCCAAAACTGGTTCTTTTCATGTCACTTACCCACAGCATGGGGCAGCAGACATTAAAATGCTGTTATGCAGTGGTACCCTATAAACGTATCCTTAATTTCTTACTGCCTTTAAGGAGTTATTTTCAAAAAGAAAGAAGGAAGGGGAGCAGGAGAGAGGAAGGGAGAGTAGGAAGGAAAGAGAGAGGGAAGGAGGGGGAGAATGAAGTGGAAACAAAGTCTTTGTAAATAGGGAGGGAGGGGCTGAAGGGAGGACAGGAGAATGGGGAGAAAATGAGAACCAAGATGGATTATGCAAAGGTGCAAATTTCCAATGACGAATGTCATTATATTGTATACCTAAAATGTACCAAATAAATTAATTTTTTAAAAAAAGAATGCTGACTTTAGACTCTTCATCCCCACTTAATTCAAGGCTTCTGTTGCTTTACAGAAGAGATATGTTGGATATTTTGAAAAACTGATGACTTTATACAACAGGACTCTTCCTCCAAGAAAAATACTCATAATAAAAAAATTCATTATTTATTCAATTCATGGTAAGTGCCATATTTATAAATAAAGGATTGGGCAGGAGTGCCAGTGCTCCCACTAACTGGGAGAGTTTTTGCTCATGGTTACATATACAGATGATCTCAACTCCATAGTTGTCTTTTTCTATTTCCTCACATGTGAGCTCCTCCCCGTGAGTTGCCCAGAGATGCATGGCCGTGTTATCGAGTCCTTGCTGTCCCTCTCCTCTTTCTCGTCATTCCTTTGGGGCTCCATCCTTTTCTCTTCTCTCCTGTTCTCGTTGCTCCCCTGGCATCAGCCCACACTAGACGTTTCCAGTTACAGCCTCTGACAGAGGTGAGAAAGACCCGTGAGTCCTGAAGAACACTTCTTTCCCACCCCACCTCTAGCTCAGGGCTTATCTTGGCAGAGGTGTCCCCATATTATTCTCACTACTCCTTCAGAGGCCCTTTTTTCTCATAACTCTGGTTTCTCCCTTTCCCTTCTCTCCTCTTGTAATCATCTCACTTCCAGCACCTCCATCAAGATCCCTTGAATATCTAATGAGCAAGTGCTTTATTTTATGTATTGCCACGTAACTACTGAGTACACGTGCTAGTCTTCTCTTCCCTTAGGGAGTCCTTGTGTGATTACCAGAGAGAAGGAAGTACATGGATATACATCACATCACACTGTTAGAACACAGAGTTAGGGGAAGGGGTAAGAAAAGCTTCCTAAGAGACAGCACTTGGGTCCTCCTCCCACCTGAATCTCCATGAAAAGGTAAAGGATTAGGAGATAGCAGGTCTTGATGGGAGTCTCTTCTCTACCAAGTATTTAGTAGTAGTAAAAATCCTTACCAACTTCCAGAGAGCTGACAATTTGAATGCTTCCAGAATGTAAGGAAAGAGAAGAAGCTGTGACTGAAGATCACCCAGGAAAGCATATAATTGTTCAGATTTTCTTTCTCTGGAATGTGAGAAAAAGAAGCAGGGTGAGGAACCAGCCTCCAGTCCCATGTCTATTTCTCCATCACCCACTGTGCTTCTGCTGCACAGCTCACTCCCAGCGGAAGTGGGAAAACAGATGTCTCAGCTGGAAGGGGTGGGGACTCACCCACTCTCACTGCCAGAAAGACAGCAGGAGGGTGATGCTTCTGAGCAGAGCTCTTATGCCAGCCAAATCGCACACCACGAGGAGGTATTGAGCACTAGACATCATAGGCTCCTTGGTGTCAGAGTGTTCGTATCTACCCAGATAGGATGTCTGCCTTCTGAGGAGTCACACAAAATAAGATCTAGACATATTTTCTTTGATGTTGTCCAGTTACTTGGAAATTTTAAAAAGCCTTTAAAATATAAATAGATAATTGTTCATTGAAATGTGAAATGCTTTTTACAAATTATTGACGTAGGTTAATTTGCCCCAGGAATTTTAATGGAGATTACAAAGGTTTCTGGCTTCTGGAAACACATTTCAACCCACATCTATTGTTTCTGGGGGAATTTTGGCCTACGTTTCTGGACAAGCATTGGGCTGTCTTGAAACCCCACCTGTCCTGGCAGGATACTGCTTGGATGTATAAGTAGATATATAAGTCTGTGAAAGAAAAGGCTTTGTAGACTGCAAATTCTGGCTGCATCACGGGACCCATGTAAATTATGAGGACAGAGTCTCGTGGTTGACCTGACTCAGGACCCCACTTGAAGCAGACCTCTCACAGGAGAGATGCCAGGCTTGTCTGAAGATGGTAGGGGTCTGGAAACAGCACTGCCTTGCTCCCCTTTCTTTCCACACGCAGTGAGGCCCAGCAAAACAATCCAGACTGCAGTGTGAGTTAGCACTTCCTTCCACTAAGGAAGATCAACTCAGTGGTTTGACAGCAAGCATTAAACTTGAGTGTGTACTCTGCCTCAATTTCTTTGTAGAATGGAATTGGCAATATCAGTACAAATCTATGTGCATGCAAGCATTTAGTCTGTGTTAGTTTCTGTTACTGTAACAAATACTTGAGATACATCAAATTATAGAGAGAAAAGGTTTATTTTGGCTTTTTTTGGAGGTTTCGGCCACAGTTGGACCTGTTGCTTTGGGCCTGTGAAAAGGGGAAGAGTGCATGGTGTATGAAAATGTTCACCTCCTGGTGAGGGCACTAAAGAAAGAGGCTTGGCCTCTTCAAGGGAATGGCCCTCTTTCCCCTAAAACTCCCCAGTAGGCCCCAGCTCTTAAAGGTTTCCACCACCTCCCGATAGTGCTCCACTTACATGATTTAAAATGTTTAAAGGTATGAAAATTTCAATCAATACTGTTTCCTTGTCATGTGGTAATTAAGCTATCTGGTTTCATTTAGTCCTAAATTTTATTGGTTTCTGGTAGACATCAGTGGAAGGAAGGTCTGCAAATGGAATGGGACAGAGGGAACTGAGGCAAGAAATGATGATTCCTAATGACGCACTGATAGAGTGTTAGTGAAATAAAATTAAATGAAAACAATATGACAGGAGCAATCAAGAGTAACTAATGTACGGCTGTATTAGAATATTTATTAAGGTGAAATATGCAGGGTTGAAAGGATAGGGGAGGCTCCTCAAACCAGTCAATTGGAGGCAAAAAAGGGAGAATGAAACCAATTATCCGTAAATATACACTAAACACCACAAGAATTTTGGATATAGCTATCCTATATTTTCACAGAGATTGCTTTAGAAGCCAGATTGAAAGTAGGGCAAGAGGAATTTTGTTTATCTATCTTTTAAAAATACCACCATTAAAAAATAAATAAATAAAAATACCATCACTAGAGGTCTGAAGGAAGAAACAGGGTTGCAAGTCACCTTCCTTAATTTTTTTGTTTTTTTTCTGGAGAGGCGAAGCAGTGATATTCTCATAGAACCTGAATTACACATGTGTTTTTGTTTTCTTTCTGGCCAATCTAAAATAAAGAAACCTACTTTGGGAGTCAGAATTAGCCTTGAAGCCTTCTTTTTCAAAGACAGAATCCATAGAAGACCAATTGATTAAATAGCACCACATGGTTAAATGGGATCGTTTTTCTCTTTTAAGTTCACAGTGTTAATTGGCAGGATGGCTTGATCTTTGTTTTAACCAGCGTTATCTTTTTAATTGTATTTAGGAGTTGGTAAAGGCGATGGAAGTGATCTAAAGGTTCAGATAATAATGCAGCAGGAGGCTGTCTTTTCCTGTTCTTCCACAAACTATATGGTAAGAGAAACCAAAATTTGGTGCTAGTTTGAAATCTCAGTGCCAAATTACCATGCAACCTTCCCAAACCATCATTCGCGCCAAAGAGATGCCATGTTGCTTTCAGGTTACCACCACCTTGGTGATGCTGAGTTTGGATGCAAACTGGAGTTCCCTGTACGTCATCACTCAAAATGGTTTTAAGGCCATTTTCCAGAATATATTTCAGTTCAGAGTGTAGCTCTGCCTTTCACTTTTCCACAAATGCCGAGCAAATTTCCAGGAACCTATCAAGGTTTCAAAGTCATTTATCTGGCCAGCTTTGCCATGTTACCTTCTTTTTTTTTAAATTGAGTTTATTGGTACAATCTAGGTATACAGTACATTTACATTCGTCATTGGAATCTTGTACCTTTACATGACAGGGCTTGATTCTCATTTTTTCACCTTATCCCTGCCCTTCCTTCACCCCCTCGTCCCCTCCCCATTGACAAACACTTTATTTCCATTTTCTCATATTTTTCCTCTCCCTTATTACCTTTCTCCCACCCTTATTACACTTTCCCCACACCTTTAGCCCTTTACTTCCTATTTCACATTATTAATTATCTCATTAGGATCTTGTGTACTATTATACTTTTCGCACCAGAGAAACTATTGGGTATTTCAGTTAAAGAAATCTCTGTATGAACATTAAAAATAGGGAACCCTAAAATAAAACTAAAAAGGAAAGTAAAAGAGAAAAGGCAATGATGTAAAATTAAAATAATCCTTAATTCTGAAGATGAAAATGGTCCCTGAACATATTTAAATTGTTTCTTGCTCTTGTAGTATTATATGATTATTATTTTTCTATTATTTAGAGAATACTTTATTAGTTTCTGTAATCAAACCCACGTAGATATGACCTTACCTATTTAATACAGTGCATTACCCCTGTACAGATGGAAAAAAAATTAACATTTCTAGACCAATATGGCTGTCAATTTCTGTACAATGCCAACTCAACACAGTAAATTGGGATACATTTTTCCAAAGTCGACAGCACAGTTAAAATTTCCAAAATTTCAAATTATATATATATGTATATACATATATATATATGTATACATATTTATATTTATATAACAAGACCAATTATAGCAGTATGTTATGCATCAATAGCAGCAACAGCTTTTCCAGGTTCTGTACTCATCCGAACAAAATTATAGACATTCAGCACACTCCATTAAAAAAACAAAAACAGGGGCCGGGGATTTAGCTCAGTGGTTCAGTGGCCTGCCTTGCAAGCGCAAGGACCTGAGTTCAATCCCCAGTACCAAAAAAAAAAAAACAAAAAACAATCAAAGAAAAGAATAATACCCAGAAAATAGCAAAGTTCTGTTGCTGTTGTGGTACCTGGCACCATTTTTTTAATTAGCATCTTAATCATCATCTGAAAAGAGAACATTCTAGAGTAACATCATTAAAAATAGCTCTGATAAAGCACAGTCACTACTACATACCATAAAGCAGGTACAAGATATTTTACATTCACAGAGATATGATACAGTATCGTCCTACATCAATAATAGTAGAATCAGTTTTGGTTTGAAATTTGCTTTGTCTGCGAATAAGATTGCTACACCTGCTTTTTTACTGGACTCCTGTCACATGGAGAATTGTTTTCCATCTCTTCATTTTCAGTCTATGGGCTTCTTTTTGCACTAGGTGTGTTTCTTGTATACAACATATTGTTGGATTTTGCTTCTTATTCCATCCTGCCAGTCTATTTCTCTTGATTGGTGAGTTGAGGTCACTGACATTGATGGTTATAACTGATATGTACTGACTTATTATTGTCCTGTTATTGGCCTTTTGATGATTCTTTCTTTTTCACCATCTCCTTTTAGTTTCTTGCCTTGCCTATTTGATTTGCTCTGTTGGGCCTCTTGGTGTTGTTGCCTTCATTGTCTTTTTCTAGGATCTTGTTTAGAATTGCTTGTAGTGCTGGTTTGGTATTCCTGTAGTTTCTCAGGTGTTCTTTGTCGTGGAAGTATCTTATTTCCCCATCCATTTTGAAAGAGAGTTTTGCAGGATACATCAGTCTAGGTTGGAGGTTGTTTTCTTTTCAGCACTCGAAATAGCTCACTCCAGGCTCTCCTTGCCCTAAGGGTTTGTGTTGAAAAGTCTGCTGTGATTCTGATGGACTTTCCTTTGCATGTGATTTGTTTCTTTTCTCTTACTGCTTGTAGTATTTTGTTCTTCTGTTGGATTTCTGGGATCTTGATTATTATATGTCTAGGTGTAGATTTTTTTGATTGTGGCTAGCTGGGGTCCTATATGCCTCAGTTATCTGAATGTCAAATTCTTCCCCTCTGTTTGGGAAGTTTTCTGTCATTAATTCTGGGAACAGCTTTTTTAAGTCATTTGTATTTTCTGCTGCTACTTCATGGATTCCTATCAGTCTTATATTATTCTTCTTTGCATCATCTAGGAGTTGTTGGATTGATTTCTCATGATCCCCTACTGTTTTTAAGAGACCTCTCTTTTCATGGTCACTGACTGCAATCTTATTCTCTATATCTGAGAGTCTATCTTCACATTCTTTTATTCTGTTGTGTACACTTTCAATGGAGTGTTTAATCTCCTGGATATCTGTTTGAATCTGTTTTATGGATTCCATTTCTTTCCTATGTTGGGCATTTATTGTTTCCATTTCTTTCTTATGCTGGGCCTTCATGGCTTATATTGTGGTCCTGAGCTCATCTATTTTTTTGTCAGTTTCTGTTCTAGAGTTTCGAATCACGACTTCCATTTTGCTCACTATCTCTATGGTTATCTGGGAAATTATTTCTGTTTTGAATTTTTCTAGAGCCTGATTGATCTGTTTTGCTACTTCCTGTGCTTTGAGTTCAGGGTGTCCTGGTGGTTCACTATTGGCTTTTTCATCCTCGTTTGCCCTACTGTTTGCCATTGGTGAACTGGAAGTCTGTCTTTGTGTCTTGCTTAAGTGTTTTCTCATTTTTATGTTTGTTGTCGGGCTGTCCTTGGTTTAATCTCTGGATTATCACCCAAATCTTCCTGATATAGTTGCACCCTAGCTTCTGGGTCTCTAACGACCCACAGACATTCTTATCTTCATAACATCAGAGAAAACAGCTTATCAAATCAACCATAATCCTTTATCCCAACTGATACAATCAGCAACACAATATGATCAATCACAACTTGGAAAATGACCACCTGTGGTAGTCACTAGTCTATCACCCTTAAACCATTTGAACTAAACTGAAATCAAGAAGCAGTCCAAACATGTCTGCAGTGAACAAACTTTTCAATATAGTATATTTAGCATTTAGGATGGGGGCTCAGACAGAGCTAGGACGCAAGACCCCTGATCTCAGTTAGCTGATGGCTGAACCCCATGATGCAGACTCACCTTGGGCTGCAAGTCCCAGACTGAGTTCCCCAAGCTTCTGAATGGTTGAACTCCACACCATTCTACTACAGGTTTCCCATGCCCTTTCTTTAAAGATGTTCAAAGTTGGGAACTCAGAAAAATACCCTTGATGACCACCTCTGCCTCTGCAGGGTGGATCCAAAGACTGGCACAGTCAGGAGGTCTGAGAGTGCGTGCACAGTGGGAGGGGTGTAGTTAGGAGAGTTGTGGGGGTTCAGGGGCGCCCGCGTGTCTACCTTCCTGGCGTTGGAGCATGGTGGCTCTGGGTGGGAGAGGGCATGGCTATCCTTCCCATGGTGGATCGGGGCCCAGGCAGCCCTCCTGGTGCTGGAGTGATTGCCATGTTACCTTCTTGAGGTCATTTCATCTTTTACTATATCATACTGATTCTAAAATTTTGGTGTCCCTGAACATTACTTAGGAGCTCATAAAGATGCACACTCCTAAACTGCACTCCCTTAGTGTTATTTAGGAAGTATCAAATGGGGCTCAGACATCTGTAGGTGGGCAGCGTCCTCAGTGACTCTCACTCAGATGTTCTGTGGGAAGCAGTGCAGGAGTAGACCTAGGGCATGGGGAGACACCTTTGTACCCACAGCAATGGGGCTTGGAAGGCCACACTTAGCTCAAATGCTAAGGAAGTGCTTAATATGATAGACCCTTTCTAAACAGTAAGAAAGTTTCTTTCATTGATTTTGATCTTATGTTTCAAGTTATCAATGTTATTCTCCCCACACGCTATTGTTTTGTTTTGGCTTCCCCTCTCTGATAGCATTTCTGCAGTCCTAAACTTTAGCTTTTTATTGTCTTCAAAAATATTTTATTCTTGTCTATGCTCATCCACCCCCACCACTGCTTTTTTTTTGAGACAGTGTCTATGTGATTCAGGCTGGCCTGGAATTCACTATGTAGTCCAGGCTGGCCTCAAATTCACACTGATCTTCCTGCCTCAGCCTCCCAAGTGCTAGGATTACAGGCTTATGCCATCACATCCAGCCCACTGCTCTTCTTTAAACTGTCATTTGTTCTTTCATTCACTGCATATCTTTTCCTCGCCTTGCACACACTGTTGGGTAAAAGAATCATATGAACTGAAAATTCTGTTTGTCTTAAAGATACTTATAAGTACTGTGTGGCAGATGCAGGAGCTACAACATGGGCAGTTTCTACCCCAACCATTCAGACACCTTAGTCATCCCTGATTTAGCAGATGAGCTTTTCTGCTGCTTCTGCAAACGGCACTCACAATCTCTCACTCATTTTAAACTTTGATATTGTCTTTTATTCTGTCCTTGCCTTGGCCTCCTAAAATTCAACTAATCATTAATTCCTGTTGATTATACATTTGAAATTTCTCTTTTTTCTTCCTTCCTGATCCCACTGCTACTATGCACCTAGTCCAGAACTTCACTTGTTCATACCAAGATTTCTCCAATGGGCTCTCAACCTTGTCTTTCTCCTTATGTATGGTATGTGTAATCTTGCAATATGCAGCATGAAATAAATATTGATTTCATTGTGAAAAGTTGTAGGAATAGCAAAATACACAGCATGCCCAGAATGAAAGGCAGTGAGTCTCCAACTCAACACTTTTTTTTTTTTTGAGATGGGGTCTCCCTTTGTAGTTCAGGCTGACCTTGAACTCACTACATAGCCCAGATTGGCATGGAACCCTTGGGAGTCCTCCTGCCTCAACCTCTCAAGTACTGTGATTGCAAGCATGTGCCACCATGCCCAGCTTTGGCATGCTCAACATTCTTATCAGTAAAATAATGATCATATCTCAAGTGTTAAAGAATTAAATTAGATAATATATATGAAGTTACTTTGTGAACTATAGGTTACTAAATAAATATTATACATGATAACTATTGGGCCACTTTGTCACAAAAGAAAATTCTCACTTCAGCAACTTCACTTTTATTTCCTTAGCTTTTGAGCTTTCAAGATACAGTAGCCCTAACATACCTGAACTTCTTTCTACTAGTAACTTGACATAAAGATTCCACTCAAGTAGAATGAGTCATCTCCTCTGGCTCTTGGAACACAATTCTAATTTCTCTTTCACGTTTTTGCTGGCCTTTCCTCCCATATTTGGGTTATTCATTTATCTACCTCCCTACTTCTATTTCCTCAATGACACTTTCTCACTCCATACCTCCTTTTTTGTTCCCCTAGTCCCTCACTGTAAAACAGCACATTCAGTCTTCACCGTACGGCTTGATACTTAATTCTGTATCATTCTACTGTTGTTCCTGTACAGCTCTCTGAAGGGACTGACTGAACCTCACCTTCTTTTGTATTTTTCATAGGATCTAGCATAGACATTTCTCACTGTGGGTGCCATTAATTTTGGTAGTAAATTGATAGCAAAGAAATACTTAGTTTAGCTTCCAAGTTGTTTGTCCCAGAAACTTAACATATTTTTGTTTGCAACCTGCAATGGACAAGGCCAACGGTCTCATCAACAACACATGAGTTTTGGTAAAACAGAATCAGTTATTCATTACTTTTTGTTTTTTGTTTTTTTGATTTTTGTTTTGTTTTGTTTTGGTACCAGGGATCAAACTCGGGTCCTTGTGCTTGCAAGGCAGGCCACTAAACCGCTGAGCTAAATCCCTGGCCCCGTTTTTGTTTTTGTTTTTTGAGACAGGGTCTCGCTATGTAGTTGAGACTGACTTAGAACTCACTATGTAGCCCAGGCTGGTCTTGAACTCACAGCAATCCTCCTGCCTCAGCCTCCGGAGTGCTGGAATTACAGGCATGAACCATCATGCCCATCATTATTTTTTGAATGTTGATGTTAGCTTTTAACATTGAGCTTCTTAGTACATTCTTCAAAGTCCTCCCCCCCAAAAAGGGTTCCAACAAAAGAAAATCAGATGATTAAACATTAATGCTTAATTGGTTAATTTCCAATGGAAAATTTAATACTTTACTTTCCAAAAGGGCTCTACCATAACCCTCAACATGTAGGTATTTAAAATTTTTAAACAGTATTGCAATTTCATAGAAAAAATGATTAACCCTTATTTTTGCACCAAGAGTTCTTGATAGATTTAGGGAGCCTGGATAAATGAAAATTAATCCTCCTGCCTCAGCCTCCGGAGTGCTGGAATTACAGGCATGAACCATCATGCCCATCATTATTTTTTGAATGTTGATGTTAGCTTTTAACATTGAGCTTCTTAGTACATTCTTCAAAGTCCTCCCCCCCAAAAAGGGTTCCAACAAAAGAAAATCAGATGATTAAACATTAATGCTTAATTGGTTAATTTCCAATGGAAAATTTAATACTTTACTTTCCAAAAGGGCTCTACCATAACCCTCAACATGTAGGTATTTAAAATTTTTAAACAGTATTGCAATTTCATAGAAAAAATGATTAACCCTTATTTTTGCACCAAGAGTTCTTGATAGATTTAGGGAGCCTGGATAAATGAAAATTAACTTCACTATCATACTTGTCCTATAGTTCTGAATTCCGTGTGTTTTTTTTCACAGGTCTTTCACGACATTGAATCAGACAGAGTAATAATTAATATATTCAATTGTCCAGCTCTGTATGACGAAGTGAAAGTGAAATTTTTATCCTCGGTAAGTAATCAAGAAACAATCTCTAGGGGCTGGGGATTTGGCTCAAATGATCTCTACCACTTTTCTTGTCTCATCTTTTGAATGATTTTGGTTTGGAATTTCCTGTTACAGTTCCCAACAAGGAAGATGACAGCAACCAATCAATGGCCAAGGCAGGGGAGAAAAGTAACAAATCAGATCCACAGCAACATTTTAAAAAAGAATATACATATTTTTTGTTCATTTTTTCCTAAATTCTATGCAATTTATATGTATTAATTTTCAAATAAGAAAAAAATACAAAAACCAAGATGCTAAAAAAACAGATACATCTACCTGTAAAGTGGTTACATTTTTGGTTTGCATCATTAAAAAATGTAGCTGTCCATAATTGACAAAATACTTTAAAACAAGGGAGATTTTACTTTCCTTTGAAATGATATGTATTACAAATGGTATTTATTCATCTTGTTTACCCTATGAAAAATGAGAATGCCTTCCATTGTCATTACTCTGAATATCATTACTGCAGTGTATAATTTATGTTGGGCATTTGTAAAATGTCATGCCGGAGTATTTTTCTTATATAAAACGTTTCTAACCCTGAGTAGTTTCATTTTCCTATTAAATCACCTATCAGGACAGCCTATGGGGTTGGTCGATTTAAAATTTATTTCTTGTGCCCTCCTTAATCCCCTACTGGCTTCTTGGAAGATTATCTACTAAATACTGAAATGGCTGAAGCAAGTGGTCTAGATATTTCTCATATCAGACAGTTGCCCCTTGAATATGGAGCCACTCTAAATTCTCAAGTAGTAATCTCTAAGCAGAAACAGTGGTATAAAACACACTGGGCCAGGGAACCTTGACAAACTCGTCTTTGTAGTTATCAAAGGTTGTGACGTGAAAGCAATTTGAAAACATTTAAGTACTTCTGTCATCATCGGTACTGATGGTTAATTATCCAGTGTAGTTATATCTTGTAGAAATGGATGATACACGTTATATTTTCCTCTAACTTAGTCTTGAGGTCTCTGTCTCTGGAAAGTGGATATAAGTTCTAGTATTGCTTTGACAGGGCTCTGGGCAAGGTACTTATGAATGCTTAACAATGTGTTTCTCACAGGATTATTAATTATCCTGGTGGTCAACCTAATGCCTGACTGTCCAACTGGTGACCAGGTATCCCTCTCCCAGGAAACTTGTTTACACTGGTAGTTACCTTTGTGACTTATCTGACCTGTATCTAGTTTATTTCTACCAAGATGGCCACTGCCTGGGAGAACCTGAGAGAAGAGTTAGGCTCAGGTGTGTTGGGCACGTAAGACACAGAAGGCTACACAACAAATCACATGAAAGAACAGAAGTGGTGTTTTATTACTTGCAGATCCCCTAGAGGAGAGGGCAGCAGACCAATGGGAAAGGGGAAACCATCCAGGACATGTCTGTTCAACCAGCAGTGGGGAGCAGTACAGTGAGAGAGACCTAGGATCAAAGCTTTCATTAGGGTCCAGTCGTTATTTTAGCAGCTTTCAGAGAAGTCTAACTGGTGGGTTTAAAGCAAGCAGGCATGAGTTTCTGAGTCACACTGAGACTTAGTAGCAATCCCTGTGACACATTTGCACAGATCCCCTGGGGGGCAGTGGAGCAAGACAAGTAAGTTGTACCTAGATGTCTCATAGGAAGGTAGTTACCAGAAGATTGGTTGCATATGGCAATAATCTGGGTTGATCACACTGAGAAAAACTGGGAGGGGGCAAAGAACTAAAAACTGTGTCAGGGATGACCGAGCCTCGGTTCTGGTATGAGAACAATAAATGCCAAGGCCACATAAACTTTTAAATGATCACGACAGTATGTTTGGGTATAAATAGGTATAGGTCCTTAGTAGACTCTGTGTAGCACTATAAAAAACAGATTAAAAGACCAGTAATATCTATCATGGAAAAAATACATTTTGGGGGAGTAGAACTGCTGTCATATGGGAATTCTACACATAATGTATTGAGGAGCTGCCAAACTGTTCTCCACCTTGGCCACATTATTTTGGGCTCCCACCAGCAGTGTATGAGGGACCCCAATTCCCTGCATCCTCACTGATGCCTTTTTCTTGTTTTGCCTCTCTTATTTTATGGTCATTCTAGTGGGTGTGAAGTGGTAACACTGTGACTAAGAATCTTCATGTGCTTGGTGGACCTCTGCATATACAATCTGGAGAGATGTCTATTTAAATTCTTTGGTCATTTTTTATTTGTGTTCTTTTTGTTGTTGAGTTGTAAGGGTTTTTGATATATTCTGGATGAAAGGTCTTCATCAGAGACATGACCTGCAAACATTCCCTCCTATTCCACGGCTTTTCAACCTGTTCATGCCCTTTAATGCACAAGTTTTAAAATTTTAATGAAGTCTAACTTACCTGTTTTTTTCACTGTGCCTTACATTTTATTTGAAAATATTGACTAAATGTTTCTTCAACCCTTAAAAAATACATGTCCTTGAATTTTTTGACAAACACCAAGAGAAACAATATTCTCTTAAAGCCTTTTCTCTTAAGTGTATTGTTATAGAGTGCTCATATTTGATAGATACAATTTGACAAATATGTGAAGAAATAAGGGAAAGAATTTTGATCTCTTTGTAATCATTAGGTAACAATTTTATTATGAAAATAACCTTTTTTTTTTAATCATGTCTTTTTAGGAGCTTCCCAAGTATTATGACAACTGTCCTTTTTTCTTTTGGTTTCACACATCCTTTATACACAAAAACAGGTAGGGATATACTGTAATCAAATAGTAACAGCTTAATATTGAATGTCTGGATGTAAAGTGTAATGACAAAACTTTTGCCTACTGCCATAAGTTTAGTTTATAGAAACCAAAAACTCTCTGAGTCACTGTTCACGGCCTTACTCATTCTAATGTGATTATTTTAAAAGTACAGCTGTGTTGAGTTGATAGGCTGACCAGTCACCTGATGAGGGGACAGCAGCAGATTAAATAATGATACACAAAGAAACAAGGAATAAAGAATAAAGAACGATAGTTTATTACTTGAGGGGGTTGGGAACTGATCTCTGGCTCTCTCCTGGCTAAGACCACGAGCTCTGGTTTAGTCAGCATTTATGATTATACAACACAGCAAGGGGGAGTGAAGGCAGATGTCGGGAATAAGGGAACTAAAGCACCTAATGATCCAGTCTTGAAAAAAGAGTGTATGCGAACCTGTGAAGGCCAGGTTACAATTAATGAGGCATCTGTGGTACCCTGCAGGTCATAGCTGAAGAGCTACCGGCATTATCTAGGTAACATTTGATCTCAGAGAATGGTTGCAGAGAGTCATAATTCCTCAGCTGCAGTGTTTCCTTGCTATTAGAGATGTCACAACCTCATCAGTCACTGAGACCTCAATTGTGACCATTGGCATAGGGAAGTCTTTCTCTGAACACCAGCTGAAAGGTCAATTAGCAATTCACACTTAAGCCTTGGAGTGACTCATAATATTAATTCATAGTTGAATTAATAAGCCAAATCAATTATTTCTCAAGCCTGCTCAGTGAAGGTTTAAGCAGGTCTCCTGCACAACTCTTCTTGAGACTTACTGCTGGGTTAGCCTCAATACCCATGCCACACAATGTTATGTTCATATTGTGAGAACGAACTCTTTTCTTGAAGTTTAATAAGCATCTGCTCATCACCTTGAATGTAGCAGGTCTTCAGTAAGTGTTGATTTACTGATGAATGACCACCAAATTTTATGCTAAAATAATGTGTGTCTGAGGGAGGCTGCAGCTAGTTTTAAAGCAGACTGGCACATGTTTATCTATGGAGAAGTTACAAAACGTGGTAAGTATTAATGCAGTCAACTAGAAGATTATTAATAGTTTGTGTGTGTTACTAGGAATTGAACCCTGAACTTTATACACGCTAGGTCTGTTCTCAAACACTGAGCTACACCTCCAGACGTGCAGTCTCATATTTAAACATGATTAACTGAATCAGGAAGAATTATTCATTGGCTTTGAAGATTATTATTCCAAAAAGTCTTTTACCATAACTGGAAAGTCATTCTTGAATCTATAAATTTTCCATTTTAAAGAGTCTTGTAATGGGGGAGGTGAGTTTTTTTTAATAGCACCATGCCAGTCAATATAAAAGGAAAAATATTTTTTAAATCATTCATGTAAGATCAGACTCGAGGAAGTAGCTGTGATTGTATGTGATATGAATTGCCACTGTTGTTACACCCAATCCAAGACTTTTCTTCAAGTCTATGCCAGATCTAAAACACCTCCAGTCTAAGAAGGCAACAGTGAAGGAACGTCTGGTCTACATATTTGTAATGCATATACATTTCATAGATTTTGAGGGAGTAAACTTTGGTTTTAACGGAAAAAATTATCAATTTTTTCCTGGATGTATACAATGAATTTTGGTTCCCTCTCACAGAGAGAACTAGGTGGAGTTTCCTCTGCTATCTCTCAGAAGTGGCTCTGGCTGAAGGACAGTTTTGATCTTTTAAACACCATCTTCACATTGAGAAGCAACACATTGGATCCTTTTTTTTTTTTTTTTTTTTTTTTTTTTTT